TTCAGTCTTCAGCAGGTATAAAGCTACACTTCCAAGATGTTACACCATGCCGGAGCAGCTGGCGGCTTCATGTGCCATTGAGATATCTGGTTTGATGAGAGATCAGCCGCTCATATTGTGCTCAAGTTTGAGCTTGCTATTGATCAGTGCTTTTGTATTATCCAAATATTCCCGGGCTGTATGCACCTTGACACCCAAGGACTGGTAGATGGCGATAGTTTCCGATCGAGCTCCCCCTCCCTATAATCCGTGGCATATATCCCTCATTCCCGTCTACGCATGGAGGCAGCCACCTACCACAACGAGCAGGAAAAGACATCCTGAAAATCGCTTAGGCCAGACGCCTCACGGAATGTTACCTGCCAATAATTGCCTCGTTGAGTAGAATCGCCAAAGGAAGCTCCCTCCTCGGCAAGGAGGATCGTGCATGAGGAGCAAGCTACTTGTACTCGGTCAAGAGGCAGGTCATCTGCAAGCTGCAGTTCTGTCGTGTAAGGGATCTGCGGCATGCAGAGCTCCGATAATACCCACGAATCATTGGCCAGTAACTGATAGTTGGTTAGTCGGTACTGAGGAGGAGATTACCTCTCTCAGTTATTTTCAGTGGTGAAGATGGTGGATGCAAAGATATTTCTAGGATATCATCTCTGTTTAAGCAAAAGTACGGCAACCTTGCTACAGTACAATGCCTCAGGGTGCTCCTGGTAAGCTGTTAACATAAGGTAAGAGAGTGATCGACGAGATCCGGTTATAGATTCGACAGGGCGGACAGCCTTAGGCATTACAGGACGAACGGTTATGTCCGTGAATGACATCATCAAGCAGGACGATCCCAAGCGGTATTATTAATAGTCTCGATGTACTACTCCGTACAGGGTAATGCCAAGAAGGCTAGGGCTTAGGGCTTCACGTTACTGGATAGCACGTGGCAATGGCAATATCTGCCTGAGGCTTACAGGGCGCGGCGCGCTGTTCGGAAGAAAGAAACTCCGTGCAGCTTGCAAGTCGCAACGGATCCTAGTGAGGCTGTCCCTGGGGATAGATCCGTTGCCAGCATCGGACCATCTCAAGGTTCACTGCATTGGACGTCATCACTTGATCTACAATGGCGAGGAAGTTAAGAGCAGCTGCGCAGGCTGCTGCTAAATCAATGAGTATGCTTGCCTATCCTTTATTGTCTTCATCCCCTTGCTCTTCTGATCAAAAACAATTACCGCGCGAATCCAGGTGCTAACCAGTCCTTTTGTAGAAAATGTACCGCCTCCGCTCCCCGACGCATCGGACGAAGAAATGGCAGACGCGCCCCCATCATGCGAATCTTCGCCGGCTGAGGACCCCGGTGAGCCCTCAGAAAAAGAGTCCGACGTCGAACCTCAACCAGAACAACCCCAGGAGGAAGAGAAAGCACCAGAACCAGCCACACCCGCCCCAGAATCCACCGCTCAGGAATCAAATCCCGTGTCGCAAGCAGACACACCCACGCAAAACCTCGGCCGTCCCGCGATTCCCCGAAAACGTCGTCCTGGGCGTCCGCCCAAGAATCGTCCTCCCGACTGGGATTTGGCAGACGGCAGTGCGCCGCCGCCAGCGCATTCGGGCACACCGGCGAAACGACGACGAGGTCGCCCTGCGGCGAGTGGTGGAAGATGGGCGCGCAACCGGGGCCCATCGCATGTCACGCAGGTGCCGATCGACAAGGAAGGGAACATGATGGATGTCATCGACGACGAGGTGGCGCTTCCGCCCGACCCAGAGGGCGAGACCAAGGTCGACAAGAACGGTGTGCTCAAGGACGGCCGAGAATACCGGGTTCGCACGTTTACCATTCTCAACCGCGGAGATCGGCTTTACATGTTGTCGACGGAACCGGCACGCTGCATTGGCTTCAGGGATTCGTATCTGTTCTTCCAGAAACACAAGCTCCTGTACAAGATCATCATCGACGATGAGGCCAAACGAGATCTCATCGAGCGAGAGATTATCCCTCACTCCTACAAAGGGCGTGCCATCGGTGTCGTGACGGCTCGGTCGGTGTTTCGCGAATTCGGTGCCAAGATCATTGTCGGTGGGCGGAAGATCATCGACGACTACAACGTCCAGGCGGCGAGAGAGCGTGGAGATGTCGAGGGCGAGCTTGCAGTTCCGGAAGACAAGCTACCTCCCCCAGGCGAGCCGTACAACAAGAACCAGTACGTCGCGTGGCACGGAGCCAGCAGCGTCTACCACACCAACGCCCCGTCTCTGCCGCTACCCACCGGCAAGGCTATCGACTCGAAAAAGCGCAAGGTGACTGTGACGGGCGATAACTGGATGCTTGAGCATGCTCGGGAGGCCAGGTATGCTATGTCCTCACAACCCGTCTTCTCTCTCTGTTAGACGAAAGACTAACGCTTTCACTAGTTCCTTCAACTCGCTTATCCTGAACGCGCGCCGCGCGAATCTGGAAGGAGTCTACGACATCCACACCAATGCTATCCACTACCCCAAGATCATGCAGCCATCGCACGCCCGCTGGGAGCGTGTTCCTCCCCCGGACCCGCGGGTCACCGCCAGACTCGCCAAGGGACTATCCACGCTGAGCCTGACAAACGGAACGGACGAGGGCGAGGCCGAACCACCCGCCGACCACACGACCGAAGAGCCCACAGACACCGAGCCCCAAACTATCTTCTCCACGATCCCCCCCGCGCTCTCGCGCCGGTTCGCAATCCACGACACCGTGTTCGAGACGCCCCCGTACTCCAACATGGGCATTCCCGGTCCGGACGGCGACGTGCACGATCTCGGCAGCAACGGCCTCATCAGCACCGCCAACTCGCTGCACCCGGAATTCGTGGGCCCAGAGATCCTCGCGGAGCTGCCACCAGAGTGCAAGGAGGCGCTCGTCGAGGCCGCCGCCCGCGAGTGGGAATGGAAGTCGAAATGGCGCAGCGAAGCGATAGACGGGCAACGCACGACGCCGCTGAAGAGCTATGCTTGGTTTCCGTAGTCTTCCTTCGGTTTCCTTCTTGCTGTACTTTCGCCGCGGCACTTTCCATTTTCATCGCGGTCCTCATTTGTCTATGTTATCACGTCGCAATCGTATCTAAGCCAGCATCATGGGCAGGGTTTGTATTTCTTCAAACGGAAAGGAGAACAAAAGGTGCTTTTTCTTTTTCATTTCTCATTTTCCATTTTACGCGTGCTAAATGTCTAATCTATCTTTATTACTTGAATAGCGGTAGGGTCCGGGTGTGATCCATCACTCGTCAGACAGAAATTCTATTCCTTCTGATATTGGATAGTGGCCTCGTAGATCGAGATCATTTCCTTGAAATGCAGTTGCAGGGTGTATTGTATCTATGCGCGAGACCATTACCTAACGGTGTACTAGAACAGATTCAATCCCCATCGGGTAGACAAATGAGATGCTAATCAAAAGGACATGAGACTTCGTTCAGCCATCGGGTGGGGGACGTTAATATGACAGGTAGGTAGAAAAGTCGCGTAGCTCAAAGCAAACCGGATTACGCCGACTAGATAACTCGAAAGAAAAAGCAACGGAAGCGGGGCAAACTCCAATCCGTTCAGGTATATGCATGACTGCTAAGAGGACGTGAGGAGGGAAAGATGGTGGGGAGACAAGACGGATGGAGTGCTCAGGTTCAGCCCATGGCCATCTCGGCGCGCAGCTTCTCCAGTTCTGCCTCTTCGTCTTCCTCTTCCGCCTGCTTTGTTTTGACCTCGACTGATAGCATTCCATGGTTAGTTGTGGTCTGTGAAAAACTGACTGCTGGGTGCTTACGCTCTCTGTTGCCGGCGGCAGGTAACCGGTTGAGATCGGCGACGGGCACCGACCCGGTCTTGAGCATGCGCTCGTCCATGACCTCCTGTTCGAGACCCTCGAGCTCCGCCTCCAGTTCGGTCTCGTCGGGCTGTTCGCCCAGAGGGTTGTTCGTGATAGCCTGTGCGATTTCCTCGCTGAGTTGGTGTTGTTCCCGAAGTTGGTCCCTATCCTGTCAGTATCTGCCTGCGCGATGTCTATCGCAAAAAAAAAAAAAAAATTACATACATCGTCTCATCGACCTTGTCGATCGTCATCGAGCCATGGATCTGTGTCATGGCAGCGCCGGCCGCCTTCATTGCGTTCAGGGTCTCCTGGTTGATATTCGCCGCTTCAATCGAGTAGATCTGCTGTTCGAGCTGGGCGATCTGCGCAGTTGTCTGTTCGAGGTTCTTCTCGTGGACCTTTTTCCTTCGCAGAGCGGCTTTGGCAGCTGTGGCAGGAAGTCAATCTTGTATTCCTTGACAAGAACAAAACCAAGGCAAGGCGCACCATTTTTATTTGTCGAGACGTTCTTGCGAGCGACTGCCTCTTGTTCCTCCATCAGATGCTCCAAGTGCTTTTCTCTCTTCTGCAGCATGTCCAGCTGCTCTCGCAGGAGGAGGATCGCGTTCTTGGGCGCATCCTTGCGCTTCTGAGCGGCGGCACCGCCGAACCAGGACCACATTATGGCTGTAAGAAGTATTGTTCTCTTTTATAATTCGGTGTGGTAGAGCTTGAGCGAGATAGACCTTAGTTGAGGCTTATCGTTGGCCTTGATATGTCTGGAAAGCGGTCGAAGGCGGTGGAGGCAGACAACAGCCAGATAGAGGAGGGGTTTACTGGATTGACTGAAGGGGTGGGTGTCTGAGACGTAGATCGACTCCACGATAGGGATATCAAGTAATGGGAAATAGAAATGAACTAAAATGGCCGTTGCCTGGTTGCAACCAAGACGGTAACAAGCATGCGTAATTGCTATCTAGGCAGAGAGCAGAGGGCGAGATGATTCCCCTCGTCACGGCGGAAGATCGATCCTATGACATGCGCGCTAAGCCTATCGTAGGTGAGCCGTCACGTGGTATCGTTACAGTTCCCCTTCATTAACATCGTTGAGTATCATTTAGAATTGATTCTTGTGTCAAATTCTTCCTCTCATATCATAAGAAGAATGACCTGGCTGTAAGATCACCGAGGGATGAACGGCCCGCCCCCTTCCACGCGAGCCTTTCTCTCCGACCTCCCTTCTCTCCCGACAGGCTTCAAAGTTCGCTTTCTTGGCTGGTGCGTCTCACTATACATTTCTTTCATCTTAATAGTATCCTCTAGGCCTATAACATGTCAACTACACACGTAAAATAGCTGATACGCCTTAGCGTGAGAACCTACAATATTCCTACAGGTCATCTAATCCTAGAACACGACTATCCCCGCCGTAGATTTTCCACCAACGCAGGAACAGAACCCGCCTCTGTGGCCGTCGATGTCAACGCGGTTCTGGAATCTGTGACGGCGGAGGAACTGCGTGTCGGGGCTTGGGTCAATGTCGTGGGTTATGTGAGGAGCTGGGGCTCGGACGGCGGTGATCATGATGCCCTCCGCAAGCTGAGGATGTCGAGTCCGGTGTATGTGGAGGCTGTGATTGTTTTCTCAGCAGGTGTGATTGAGCTGGGCGAGTATGAAAGGGTTCTGAGGGAAGCGTTGGAGGTCGTAAGGCGGATTCCGAGGCCGGATTGAAGGCAACCCTCTGTGAGTCTTTCTGGTTCTTGATTCGTTGTGGTTGGTGTCATTAAACATAAGTCATATTTAGGCTATCTGCTATGCTGAATGACATATGACGCCTCTATGCATGGGTGAATCACTTTTCTAGACACTTTTTGAGAAGACTAAACCTCCATCTTCACCTGCTCAGTTGCCGCGCTGCCTTCTGTGCGCTGCACCAGCCGTTTCCGCTTCCCCTCCAACCGCATCTGATCCATCTGCATGCGCATAATCAGCGCGCTCTTCCGGCGGATCTTATACCCGTATTTGTAGAAGACAAACGGAATCGGGATGATGGCCACTTCGAGCAATCCCAGCAGCGTCCCCGACCAGTTGGGACCGATCCCCGCGTACATATACGAGCCCACCAAGGGCAACACACCTCCCAGAATACTCCGAATGACAGAGTTACCCGCCATGGCCGACGCGGCATACACCCCGTAACTCTGCGTGAGGTAGTTGGACGCATAGATGAAGACGCCCGTGTTGCCGGCGCCGAAGAGAACGCCTGCAAGGATAGGGACGACCCAGTGGATGGACGCGGGGGCGCAGGTCCAGGCGAACCAGAGCTCGCCGGCGGGGATGAGGACGGCCGAGATGCAGACGATGGACACCATGGCTTCCGGGGCCACCTTGCCCGTTTCCGGGTCGATTTTGTGGCTGTTGATCAGCCGGCGGATCAGCGGTTCGCAGGCGATGGTGATGAGGCAGCCAATGCCGATTCCGGAAAAGGCAAGTCCGGAGAGCCCCAGGGACCAGCCGCGGATCTGACGGAAGACGATGGGATAGGCGGTGAAACAGAGGTAAAGAATACCGTACACGATGGCGATGTAAATGTTCCAGAAGATACTGCCCAATGTCAGCCGTGGAACAGGTCCTAGTGTGCAGGAGGCGCGCTCACCAAATGGGTTCAGTGACCGCCATCACAAACGGACGGCTCAGGTTCAGCTTCAAGATCTCGCCGAGACTCATCTTCTGGTCGTAGCGACTCCACCAGCGTGGCTCACCCGTTTCTTTACGGAGTGTGGCCGCCTTCTTCTGCAAGATGACAGGGCTATATGTCTCTCTCATGATGCACGAGAGGGCCAGCGCAACTCCAGACAGTATGAGGGCAATCCAGTCCATCCACCGCCAGCCCAGATACTGCGTCACGAAACCGCCAATGATCGGGCCCAGCACTAGTGTTCAAGTCAGCCGCTACGGTACTGTCATCCAGCAGGCGGGCAATAACGAACCTGGGCCGTTGACAGGACCAATACTCCAGATGGACATGGCCAGGGCTCGCTTGTCGTCTTGCACCAGGTCGGCAACCATACCGGGAGCGCTAGAGATCATGACACTACCGAAGAAGGCGCCAATGAAGCGGACGATGATGAGTGCCTCGACAGACTTGCTGAGCGCACAGGGGATAATCAGGACGGTGAAAACAAACAGACAGCCGATGGAGACCGGCTTGCGGCCGTATATTTCGCTCATCGGAGCCATGAACATCGACCCGATGGCTAGACCAACCAGGTAGAAGGTCAAGCCCAGAGTGACGATAGTCTCTGACGTGTGGAACTCGGACGCGATAGCTGCTATGCCAGAGGTATAGGAAGTCGAGTAGAGGACGCTGGAATAGTTGAGTCAGTTGCTTCTCAGCCAAAATGACGAGCCGACACACTCACACAACCAACGTGTTGAAGGACAAGAACGCCACAGCCATGGCCTTGTATCGAAACGACCAGTTCTTCGGATTCGCTTGATCGTCGTCACCCTCATAGTCGACCTCGAAGTTGGGATCCGTGGTGCCAGTGGTACCGATCGAAGTCACTTTTCTTGCCAGAGACGGCTCTGACAGTCGTGATGCTCGTGTATTCAGCGTCCGCAGCGCTTCCAGTTGGTCGATTGTATCGTCGGAGGTGGTGGACTCGCCGATAGACTCTACGTCTGCCGGCAAGGCTTCTTTCTGCCTGTGCTCGGGCCATTTCTTAGGTTGCGACATTTCATCTGCCTGCACTGAGACGGGACGAGCTGTTTCTGTTTGTTGAGTCTGCCTTGCGCTTGGATCGTGCCCAGTGATCAAGACAGCATACGCCTGCGAGAGTTGGTTTGCAGCACAGTTGCCAATATGGAATCTTTCGGTTATATAGTTCAGGCACTCATTCTTTGGCCGATATCATCGAAGTATGATCTTCGTGGGAATAATTCGCGAAGATTCAACGTTTGCTGGAATGGAGCAGAAGGTGCTGGAAGGGCATATGCAGAGCGAATAGAGCAATATGTAGCAATTATGCACAAATCGACCCAAAACAGACAGCAAAGAGAGGCAGAATTCGAGCGAGAGCAGTAAAGAGGAATGATGGACCTTATAATTTCCCTGGTGAAAGCGACTGAAACGATAAGTGGTAGGGAAAATGGGTCGGTGGGGCCTCAGGTAGAAACCGTCATGCAGACTAGAATAAGGAGAGGACTAGGCTCTGAAATGACTCGAGAGATGGATATGTCGAACAGTAGACTACCGAGCTGGCTTGTTCTAGAACGAGTGTAGATCTAGTGATATACTAGATGATCCATGACTAGATAGCTGGGACTAGAGAATAGAGACATCAACATCTGGCGTGTTCAATCTCAAGGTCTATCTAAATACTAGGCTAAATGCTTGCTACTTGCTAGATGGACACAGACACAGACCAAGGCCAAAAATGCTTGGACGGTATAGTTTCGGTTGGTAATGTCGGAAACAACTTGAGCCCCCGCATGGTCAAACCCAAGTGATAACAAAAGAGTCGAAATGGCCACGAGACTGGTAGCCAAGACGCATGCTGTATGTATGGACCCTGGAGATGAGGTGATTGATCATCGTCCAAGTGACAGTGGTGGTGGATCTGTGATGGTGCAAAACTGAGCTCGGAATGAATTCCGTGATAGCAGTTACCGGCTCCCCACAGTCCAGGCTGAATACTTCAATTACACAGTCCACTGAGGTCGAAAGAAGGTTATCAATGCCCCAGATATGCGGATTTTAGAATACGCTCCACTGTCCCAGTCCATAGGATAGTACTCCGTAGTAGTACTCCATATTGAGTTGGAGACACAGAGTCTGGGGAGAAATGTGACTTTTCCGCTCGGCCTTTTCTCCGCTGAGAGCATTCGTCGATTGGCAGGAGAGTTGACGGGGTCCGTTCACTCTGGCCACTCAGAAATGCCAGGTTCCGGTTTGCCGCGATGCCGGTTTGCCGATTACTCGAGACATCCACTATGACTTGGCGTAGAGAAGGCAATAAGGCATCAGGATATGTACCGTTGGGCATGATTCTTAATCGCAGATCGTCATCGACCGCTCTACAGAGCAAATCCGACTAGACTGATCCTTGAGATATCCATCTGTACAGAGTACATGTGTATGATTGTCAGTCACTTATAGTTGGTACTTGTAGCCCAAGGCTGCTACAGAACTGTCTCTTTTCTTCACAAGGTGCTGAAATATTTTGGTGGCTGCAGATACTTTAATTCTAAATAATCAGCCGTTCAGCACCACTGACAAGTAATGTTGCACTTGTACAGAGAGAAGCAGTATCATCAACAATCAACACTTCCATGATACAGTGTAACATTGAAAGTAACAGAAACTCTCTAAGCGATCCGTTTCCCCACAAGATTGCACAAGATTCAGCCAATCAACATTGTCCCTGTTTGAAACAGAGCTCTTCCAGGGTCAGGTACCTAAAAGGTACCTGGACTTTGTACTCCTTGTCTCTGAGGAGATAGGTATCTGGTAGGTACCTCAGGGGGCTATCTAGTTTGCACTCAATTTAGAGACTCATAGACACATCAAGGCATGCGAATGATCATAAGAATTACTAGACTCGGACTTTCTTCTACTTGTGTCACTTCTGTCGAAAAATTGCTCAGGGGCAGCGTACTGTCGTACTACACTAGGTACTTAAGCACGTGGAGCGGAATGTCCAGTCCCCACTCACTATCTGTTGCAAAATGCAATTGACACTTGACAATAGAATTGTCAGTGAACCTTCTGCTCAAATTGGTTGAAGCATATTAAGTCTCCTCTGAAACCATTAAAGCCAGTCTTTGTTAACAGTTATCAAGATGAAGGAGTCAGAATCCTTCCAACTACTAAATATGGATCATGTGGACCAGATGCTTGTCGCTCGTCTAAGCGAAGCGACTAAAAGTCTCGACTCAGCTCGCTTCGGTGGCCTCGAAAGTAGATTATTCCAACCCCAGGAACACATTTGTCAACCTGTGCTTCGCTCACTAGGGCTCTGAAGGTCTCAGCATGTGGATGATGGAATTTTGAGAACTACGACTTCAATCAGTTCTCGTCTGCTTCCCCTACAGTCTTCCACGAGCGACAAGCTCACTACTGGCAATCGAGCAGTTGCTGTTGGCTTTCTTTCATATCAATCGTCAGACAAACTGCTTCGATCGAGGTGATACTGCTGTACACCCTATTCCGAACCAGACGAATCCGTTCGCTCGAGCTTGTCAACCTGCCAAATGCCGTCCATTCTTCTCGCCGCTTCTATTGCGGGCCTGGTCGCTCTCTACCTCTACCATGTCAACCGAGCAATGACCAAAGTCCCGGAGGAAGCTCGTCTATTATCTCCTCGCCGATGGACCGTTGAGGAAATCAAGGAAGCTTATCGAAAGGCGATTGAGTCCCCGGTAGATGTCAGCAAGAGCCTTCCTCCAAAGCAGCATAGACGATACATCGTTGTGGGCGGATCAGGTATGTCACCTCTACCATTTGATCCAAGGCAAATGCTGATAATCTCAGGACTGGTTGGGAATTGGACAGTAACCCATCTTCTTGCGCGCGGCGAAGACCCGACTGCGATTCGCGTCCTGGATCTTCAGTCACCCTGTCAGCAGATCCTCGACCACGGAGTGGGGTTCGTCAAGATTAATATCACCGATGCAGAGGCCGTTCAGGCTGCATTCGCGCAGCCATGGCCGCAACAAGTCGCTAGCCTTCCATTGACCGTTTTCCACAATGCCGCCGTGATCAGACCCGGAGAGCGACACAAGGCCTTTCTCCAATTCTGCACCAGGGTCAACGTCGACGGAACCCGGAACGTCCTGGCCGCGGCAAAGCAACACGGCGCAAGCTGTTTCATCTCGACCTCGTCCGGATCCGTGCTCCTCCGCCGTCCATCGTTCTGGATCGCGCCCTGGACCAAGTGGCCCAAGCGCGTCGTGCAGATCATCAGTGACGCGACAGAGACGCCCAAAGAGCACGACCAATTCTTCGGCAACTACGCCGTTTCCAAAGCCGAGGCCGAGCGCATCATCCGCGCCGCCGACAGCCTCGAATCCAACTTCCGCACGGGCTGTATCCGACCCGCCAACGGCATCTACGGCGTCGGCGACACCACCATCACGGGAATGTATCTGCTCAAGGGCGGAGCTCCCAGGTACCTTTCCTCCATCCCCTCAGGGAAGACTTGCATGCAAGCCTAACTCCATCAAACAGTTGGACCTACCCCGTCATCCAAAGCTTCGTCAACGCCGAAAACGTCTCCATCGCGCACCTCCTCTACGAACAGCGCCTCCTCGATCACACCGCATCCTCAACCAAACTCCCCAACATCGGCGGCCAGGCCTTCACCGTCACGGACCCCAACCCCGCCATCGCCTTCAGCGACCTCTACCTCCTCATGACCACCCTCGTAAAGACCCCCATCCGCTTCCCGCGCGTCGCTCCCGTCCCTTTTCTGCTTCTTTCGTATCTGCTAGAATGGTACGCCCTCCTCCAGCACCTTTACTTACCCCGTCTCCTGCCAAGGATCACGGGTGATTTGGCGCAGCTTCAGCCCAGTCTGTTCGCCATCTCGGACGTGCATACCTTTGCGGACGACTCGCGTGCGCGTAAAACCCCAGCCGAAGGGGGTCTGGGCTACGTTGCGCCCATTACGACTCTGGACGGGATGTGCAAGCAGGTGCTGGAGTGGAATCGGAGTGCTGGGGCGGAGACCGTTGCTGCGGTTGCGGATCGTGGGAAGGGGGTGGTTAGTGTTTCTGAGGAGGGGGTGGATGTGAATCTGGTGGTTCCTTCGAAGAAGTTGTGACCATGTAGTATCTGGTCTGTCAATGGATTCGCACGGGAAGATACTTGGTGTGGTATAATCTGCTTTGCATTGCTTACGTGCTGGCTACTCCAAAGTGATTGCAATTCTCTGAATAGCACATCATGACCTTGTCTCGACAGACCATGAATTGTCATTGCCATCAAAGATCCTGTCTAGCCTCGACTCTATTCCAGGGAAGATAAAGCGTATGAGAATGTCTTGTGTCCGCCGCTGGATGACCGGTCCTTCAGGCTGTCTTTCCATTAAGCCTTAATGTAGACGGTTCCCACACTCGCTCGATTGTCACAGAGTTTGCAACATTGGTAGCGTTCAAGGAGTTGCGTCACTCCTGTCGTAAATGCTTTAAGCGGTGCCGATCAACGTGTCATTCTTAGTTGCAACGAGGTGGTTGGCGATTTGCACCGCTCGATGCCGGCACTGGATGGTGCCTGTCGAGCTTTCTGCAGGCCACTATGCGGGCTTGGTGATCGCCTTGTGAGCCGATGCGAAGAGGCCGCTGAAGGTCATAATAAGGAGACACGTTAGATGACGCCATGTCTCGCCAGACTTCTTATTGCATGGCCTCCAATCCAGTCATAAGGAGTGTCCCAAGTAGAAATCCATTTGCAGCATAATCATATGCGCGAGTCAATCACTACCGCGCCTGCTGCTGAGCAAGCCGACGTCTCTGCTCCAGAATTTGCAACCGCAGACCCTCCGAGGCCAGTTCCACGTCGAGGATGGCACTGACGCCCCGCTTCCAAGTCTCCTCCAGACTCACCATCTCGCCCTGGCTGGCCTCCTGGGAAAGCTTCCTCTGCTTGTTCACCGCCTCCGCCGCCTCTTTGGTCTCGGCCAACTCCTTCTCCAAACCCCGGAGAATATCCTCCAGCTGGGAGTTGCCAATGAGCCACGCGTTCTTGCCGTACTCCTCCAGCAGCGCCAGGTTCTCGTGTCGCATGGAGAGATGGGAGCTGGCCGTGTACGCTCTCTGCAGGATGCGGCGCCATGCATCCAGATCAGGAACTTCTCCGTCTGTCGAGCGCGCAGGCGGCTCCGGTGCTTCGTAGCGGGATAGGTCGATTCCCCCGGTCAAGGGCAACCCGGCGGCCTTGCGGTCGATCTCCTGCTGTATAAGGGGGGAGAATCGCGGTTCGGGGAGCTCGGGAATGGCGGGGTGAAGAGTCGAGGCATGGTCCGGGGATAATTCCGCTGCGATGAGTTGCTGTGCAGCGGCGCGTGCTTGAGCAGACGGCTCAGCGTCGATGTCTGGTCAGAAGGTCAGGAGCTATGACCGGAAAGTCGTGGAGCAGGCTGAGGAGACTTACAAGGGAGGGAGTCGTGAGATTCGTTAATGACAGGCATATTGTTGGCAAATAAATTCGACAGTGATTGAGGTCTCAGTATTGCGTTGGAGAATGCCAGGTGATTTTATTCTGTGAGGAGTGCTCTCAAGTAGCTGCGACGAAACGCGGGAGGCATCATTTTCGTTATGGGCTTGGGCGGTGAGACAGGACTTGCTTAGTCAGCGGATTCCTTTTCCACGGCCCGTTTCCCTCTTTGTATGTGAAGATTAGACCTCAGTTGGCCCTCTGACGGGGTGAGAATATCGGAGACGATGTTACTTGTCTTGCAAATCAGTATTTGTCACGACAGGCGGAAGTCCGTCCAAGATCGAGGCATATTCTCGATCGACTCTCACCATGCAAGGTCGAAATCAAGGTCAACTATGCACGGTGGCTGAAACAACCATCTTCGTTCTGCAGGGCATGGTAGTATCTGCAGGTTAGATTGAATGACATCGCGTCGATTATATATTTCTGGAAGTTATATTAAGCCAAGTCAGCAGGACATTTCATGCATTACCATCAATATCTGAGATAGGATGTGGAGACGAGGCTTGTCATTCTTGGTCATTGAAAAACACCAATGACAAAACACAGCTCATTCTCAGATGATACGCCGAATGTCAGCTTGGACATGAGGTGATATGGAAGCTGCCAATGCGCCTCGTTTGTCTGCGTTGGTGTTGTCTGAGCGCAACGAACCGATATTGAAGTCATCGAGCTGGTTGTCTCGCCGCGGTCCGCGATCATACCCCGCTATATCACTACGTTGTTGACACGGTCAGCTTCGTACTAGCTAGTCTATGGAAAGCTTGCTGGCCAATACTATAGTGCTTCGAGTGCTAACAACATTCAGGCAACGTGCCGCGGATGGCTCAATAAGTACAAGTGACCATTATGACCTGGTTTAAGGGCCGCGACGGCACCAATGTCGAAGTATCTAAAGAAAAAGAGAGCTAGATGCAATGCACAAGAAGAAAAATCAGGGAAATGAACTCCGAGGAGCAAAACGGCTTGGGGAGGCAGTCTCATCAACCTGCCCAGTCTCCCTTTTGCATGTTCACCGTATTAGATGGGTGGACATGAAGAGGGACTGTTGTCTGACCCGTCTCGTGCTCGTTTCGTTGAAATTATTAACAGGAGAACGAGCAGAGGCGGACTCGACGGGGTGCAAGAGTGCAGCCTTCTGACGCTGCAGAAGTTGTGTGAATCGACAGCTTCTGCAGGCGCTCTGCCGCTGCACTACCGACCCCGGTTGGTTGACTGGAGAAGATAATGCGGGCTCATCTGTTGCAAGGTGGACTGCCTAAAAAGGTAAGGCTGCTTGGACCCTTGGATACCTGAGAAGCAGAGCATCTTGCTAGGAGATCTCTTGCTGTAGCATAGCCGAGGTCGACAGTAGTTTGCCAGGGAGATACAGAAGCGACTGAGAGCGCATACTGCTCACTTTCTTCATTGGTAACGGCCCTGGATAAAGCATCACATGCGATCTCATTCGGAGCTTGGCAAATGTCCTAAAAAAGTTTGCAATATAGAGAACTAAAAGAACAAGCCTAGAAGCCTAGAAACTAAGGATGCATACGAAAGTACTGATAGCCTGAAATGGAAGTGTCTCCGTCTGACGAACATCGTGACAAACCTCCACAGGGCCCCATATGATTTTCCATCAACCATAGATGACACTGATAAACCCTCATCAAGATACCATCGCATCACCACCAATAAATGCCGTCTTCTGCATATCTCAAGGTATTTTGAGGAAGCGGGGAATGAACGACCACGTACCCAATCAAGTATAGCGGCGAAGGATGGCAGCGTGACGACGGCCACAAGCGATGCTACCCTCCTGCTGCATTCCTGTCGATCTGCTGGTCATGCGCTGCCTTGCTGTACCTATACGAGGTCATTTCCTGTTTCTATGTGGCCTTTTGCTTAAACACTGTCAGCCTGGCCATTCGGAGAATAACAATGTGATTCGATCGATAAGAAGACTGCAACTCCCGCGGGGAAAAAGCAACAAGCGGAAACCTACTTTCTGATGTCATCAACATAACAGGTCACAACCCGCATAACCTGAGCTTGGACTGTCCACACAGTTTCGTCCGTCGAAAATGGCAAACTCCAGACTCGGAGTGGCCTTGGCCGGGACTCTTGTGACAGCTCTTGTATTGTTGCAGCTGCTGTCTATCGTGCAGACCTACAATCCACCGCCCACCTTCAGCTTTGTTGGCAAGGCATCACGATGGGAACACAGGACGGCAGATAAGGTCTCCGATGATAGCGTTTTTCTGTTGGGAGCTGGAAAAGCAGACATCACTGGGTACTGATAGTCATGTTTTGCTTTATGCTATGCTTCTTCGTTATGGATGGACATCCCGCTGACTCTACGGTGATAGCCCCGTGGTGGAGGTAGCCCTCAGCGGATATGCTATGCTGGATCAGATCGGCACAGGTCTGCGACAGAGAATTTATTCCCGCTCCTTCATTTTCGCAAATCCAAATCAACCAGACGATACCTTTATTTACATCGTCATCGACGCGGTGACGGGCGACACTGCCGTCCGACATGGAGTCCTCCAGGCGCTCGCGAGTTTGGGAGGTGATTATGCGCGCTACGGCGAGGGCAATGTTGCGTTGACTGGGACGCACTCTCATTCAGGACCCGGGGCCTGGAACAACTATCTACTTCCACAGATTCCTAGCAAGGGGTTCGATAAGCAGAGCTATCAGGCTATCGTTGACGGCGTGGTCCTCTCCATCAAACGCGCTCATGAAAGCTTGGCCCCCGGTCGCTTGAGCTTCGGCTCCATCGATATCCAGAATGCAAACATCAACCGAAGTCCTTATTCATACGACGCCAATCCGGACGAAGAGAAAGCACGCTACTCGGCCAACGTAGACAAAACGATGACCCTCTTGCGATTCGACAGGGAGTCGGACAACAAGACCACTGCCATCCTGACATTCTTCCCGGTGCACGGCACTTCTCTCTATAACAACAACACTCTCACTACAGGTGACAACAAAGGCGTCGCCGCTTGGCTCTTTGAGCGGAGCGTCCAGGACGATGCGAATTTCGCCGACGACTTCGTAGCCGGATTCTCCCAATCCAATGTTGGTGATACGAGCCCGAATGTGCTGGGCGCATGGTGTGAGGATGGATCGGGGCAGATGTGCCGCTACAGCGACAGCACTTGTGGTGGCAAGACCGAGGACTGCCGTGGTCGCGGGCCCTTCTTCCGTGAAAAGGACAATGGTGCGAAGAGCTGTTTCGAGATCGGACGACTTCAGTACGCCGCGGCCAAGCAGTTATATAGCCAGATGGATGCGAGTAATACTCGGATCACTGGGAGCTCTAACGTTCGCTCCTTTCACGCTTACCGTGATCTTGCTGGCTACACATTCCAGTCGCCGTTCAATTCTAGCATGCTGACGACATGCTCGGCGGCACTGGGCTTCTCTTTCGCAGCCGGTACCACTGACGGACCTGGCCTGTTTGATTTCACGCAGAACAGCTCTGGACCTGCAGAGTCCAATCCGCTGTGGTACGTCGCTCGAGCGTTTGTTCATCAGCCTTCGGCAGAACAAAAGGCGTGCCAGGCGCCCAAGGATATTCTCCTGGACGTGGGAGCCAACACGCAGCCGTATGCGTGGGAGCCGAATATTGTGGACATCCAGGTCCTCCGAGTAGGTCAGCTGTTCCTCATCATCTCTACGAGTGAGGCGACAACCATGTCTGGACGGCGTTGGAAAGAGGCCATTGCAAAGTCAGCCAAAGACGTTCTCTCTATTGATAGTCCCTTGGTCGTGTTGGGGGCTCCTTCGAACAGCTACGCTCATTACGTCGCGACAGAGGAAGAGTATAGTAGGCAACGCTACGAGGGTGCTTCCACCCTGTACGGGCCTCACACTCTCGCCGCGTACATCAATCTCACCCTTACCTACCTCCCTTATCTAGGCGATTCGCCCAATCCCGCCACGTTACCGGAGATGCCCACGGGAGTGCAGCCGCCCATCAACACCGACAAATCACTGAGCTTCATCCCGGGTGTCGTGTACGACAGTGCTCCCATTGGAAAATCATTTGGTGACGTGGTCGCCTCGGTAGCCAAGTCTACGTACAAGCCTGGCGAGACGGTCAACACGACATTCGTCGGAGCCAATCCGCGAAACAACCTGCGTCAGGGATCTACATTCGCAGCCGTCGAGCGGCAGAATCCGGCCTCAGGCACGTGGGAAGTCGTGCGTACCGACAATGATTGGAACCTGCTCTACCATTGGAAACGGACCAATACCATCATGGGATACAGTGAGGTGACCCTCGAATGGCAGATCGAGGATGACTACTACAACGTCGGCAACCCAAAGCCGCTCCAGGCTGGAACGTATCGCTTCCATTATTATGGCGATGCAAAGAATATCCAAGGCCAGATCAAATCTTTTGAGGGCATTGGCAAGCCATTCACGGTGACTTTGGGCTGATTATGTTTTATAATGAATGTGACGCATCAATCATTAGCTTTATCGTTAGGTATGACTTATGAATATGAGTCTATGATAGTCAATGGCTAGACGAGGATGGCTACCTGTAGAGGTGGCAATGCATAGATTCTCAAAGAAACTGCTTTCTCTTTATTCCAATGGACAGGTCAAAGACCTTTAAATAATCCGGTCTATTTAAAGAGATGCAGCTGAGTGACCATTGCCAATGATCTGCTGCAGCCTCTCAGGGTCGGCGGTTGGTGCAACACCTCCAAGCGCTTCTTTGTCGCGCGCTATCCAACCTCGTCGCAACTACCAACCATCTCTCTTTGACATCGAGCCTTGAGACAATCAGCAAGTTCCACAATAATGCATCTAGCCGTGTGTTCTTCAGGCCCGAATCGTCTGTTCCTAGTCATCCCAGACGCTAGCTTTCTGCAGCCTAACTTAAGGGCTCCTGTCATGAAAGCCTCAATGCTCTTATAACCTCCATTGTCTGCCAGAAGAGATTGTTCCTTGGCTAGTCTATGGTTCTACTGATTGTCTGTCGCTTTCTTTATTCTCTTTCCTTTTTGTCTCCTGTCCACCATAATGCTCAATTAGTACGAGTCGACGTCTCGAACGAAATGTCCATCCACTCTTTCCGTCTTCTCATTATTTATCAAGCATACCTTCTCTAGTCCACAGCGCTGTCGTCGATCTTTCAAAATTCTCATAGTTCAATCTTCAAAATGCAGTTAATCCACTTCAACAACGCGCTCGCTCTTTTCGCCATAACGTGCTCGGCTGGCCCGATCGCCCAGTTTACCCACAAGATTCGAGATCTGGAACAAAACAGACAGAGTCCTGGACCTACAGCATATCCTAGCCCGCTGCCACTCGATATACATGTACCAGCGGCTTCAGATGAAGCGAATGGCGGTTTGGATGTCGTTCCCATTACGCCTTCCGTGACGGCGGATGGTACTCAGACGGCGGTGCCGCAGGCTTCGTATACCTCTACTGAGGTTTCTGGATCGTCGATACTTCCGGCAGAAGGGTATTTGGGGACAGTTGCTCCGTTGTTGTCTCCAGAGGCTACTTTGGCTTCGTCTACAGCGGACAGTTCTCGTGCCACAGTGGATAGTGGGTCGTCTAGCTCTACTGAGATACCTGCATTGTCGATGCTTCCAGCAGAAGGGTATTTGGGGACAGTCACTCCGTTGGTATCTACAGAAGTTCCTTTGCCCTCATCTACAGCGGACAGTGGGACGTCTAGCTCTACTGAGATACCAGCATCGTCCCCACCTGCAGGGGGAAAGCATTCGTCCGCGATCGCTTCCTCGTCTGCAGAAGCTACTTTACCTTCAGCGGAGACATCTGTGGCTGTCATTCCAACCACCTCTTACTCTCATTCGGCGTCCCACTCAGCGTCAACTCCGAGTGTGTACAATTCTACAACCTCAACCTCAATCCCTCTTATCAAGCACAGACCGACGGCAGGACCTTCACCTGAGCTTTCCACATTTACACCCATTTCAATCGTTATCGTTTCACCAAGCTCGGCCCTAGCAAGCACACCCACCACGACACCCAGTCTGACCGTTGGTGTCGTTGGACCACTGTCTGATGTCGGGACGGCCAGCTCGTCTCCTTCAACTACTTTCTTTGCAACAGCTCTGCCAGAGACTCCTTCTTCAACGTCAACGGTGACCGAAACCGCGACGTCCAGCCCGACTGCCAGCGTCGTAGGACCGCAACCCGAGACAGATACAACCACGTCTTCTTCCTCTTCAACAGCATCTGCATCCTCTCTTCCAGACGCTACACCAACAGAGCCAGCAGGCCAGCTTCGTACCACTTCCAGCGCACAGTCCACACCCACTACGACGCAAAGCGCAAGTACAGCCGAAAGTTCAAGTACTCGCCCATCCCTCAACTCAGCAACACCAGCCCCCTTCATCGGAGAAATCACAAGCAGTCAGCCCCAGAGCGCTAGCCATACAGCCAGCACCCACAGTGACATCACTCCCATCCTCACACCGGTGATCGTCCTGATTACACCAGGCGCAGAACCGACCCCCACGGCGACGACAACGACGACCACAACGCACCCAGACCCGTACGCAAAGGCAAACGCTAACGGAGATCCAACAAGGAGCCCTGCGTCCGGCCCTACGGAAGGAGCGGAGATAACCACAATCCACGCGACAGCAACCGTAACCAAGAGCGTGGTTGTATTTGCTTCCGGCACTCCTACGGCTGAGACGCCAGCTCCAGTTGCTAATACCGAGGAGTCTGAGCCGGGGTTGGGCTCAAAGACCGCACTTACGACTGCTACGGTTACGGCTGTGCCTTCTGACCCCTATAGAGATCCGGGTGATGCCCATCTGTCCATTGTGCCTGTTACGCCGGGGGTGATGACTGTGACCACCACCACTACCAAAACCGAGACCGAGACCGAGACGGAGACTGTGACTAAAACGGAGAGAGAGACCGTAACGCAGACTGTTACGGAGACTATGACGGAGAAGGAAACTGTCATTTTGCGGGGGAGTTAGTTGATTGAGTCTTTGGCTTGGGAATGTTAGATGTGTTAGGAGCTGGAGTTTAGAGGTGGATGCACTGTACACTGTACTGTACCATAAGGATAATTATAATTCCCTAGATGTAGTCACCAAATTTGACCATTTCGATAGACCGTTTCCAGCCACTAAAACACAGTATATCCGCCCTGAACACCAGCCCGCCATAGTCTACATTACACTGGTAAGGATTCAGAATCAAAGCTCAGTAAACACGCTGAATTTCGCCTGGTAGTCCTTCAGACTCGCCCACTGGCGCAGCTCCTCCTCATCCTGCTCGCGGTCGCTCAGATAACTCATTCTACGTCCGTTGGCGTGGGGGCTTGTCCCGGCCGTGCCCAGAGTGGGCGCCGCGAGTCCCTCCAGTCGGATGAGGGTGTCGATGAAGGCGTGTAGGTAGGATTCTGCCTCGGCGAGGGTGATGGGGTTGGGACCCGGGGTGGCGGGTGTAAAGGTGGTCGTTTCGGTCCGCGAGGTGGGAAGGTTGAGCAGGGTTGACGCGACTTGGCGGACTTTACCGGTCTGACGGACGGTTAGGTAGCTTTCAACGAAGGGGAAAAGAGCAGATACATACAAAGCTGGCACCGTTGGGCTCCATATTAAGCTCGTTGACCGACTGTAGCAAGACAAACAAATCTCGAACGACGAGACGCCGTTCTTCTGCCATAGTCTTTCCAATGTAGTCGCTCTGAGCAGCATCGTCGATCCCGTTGTGCGCATTGCCCTCCACTTTCACTGGAGTTCCGGGTCCTCCCCCCTCGGAGGTTCGGTGATACATCTTCCAGGTGGCGTAGAGACTCCAGTACTTCTCCGCCAAGTAGGATCTGGTGGCCAGTTGGCTCACGTAGATATTCGCCTTCTGGATCTCGTATTGGATATGGCGACGCTCGCGCATCCAGGGGTCCTCAGCCGCATCCGCGGAATCGTCCCGGTGAGGGTGAAGTGATAGCTCCGGTGGCACATTGGCCAAAGCCCCTTTGGAATTCTGCAAACATTCGAACAGCAGAGACCGTTGCCGCTCCCAATCAAAAATTCGCCCACTGCCGAACGCAACCTCCCAAGCGGATAGGGCGTTGTACGAGTTATAGACCCGGACGTTGGCGTTGAAACCCACCAGCTGCGAAACCCGGTTGGCTGGCTGAGGTTCGATATGTGTTCTGAAAATAAACTCGTCATCCACTTCAAGGGGTAATGGTGGGTAGCGCTCCGTCGGCGTCTCTGGAGCAAGATAGATTGGGGTGTCAGCGGAGCCTATCTGCTGTATTGATCGGTAGCCGACTAGCGTCACATAGAACAGTCGCCGCGCGAGCTCCTGCTCGATCATGTCCACTGGGCGCTCAGCGGGTCCACTGAGTCGATCCTGTGATGTGGCCGACGAAGAAGAAATCGGGCTTGTTGGCCCATAGGACGACTGCATGGTCGATTGGCGGCAAAGATCGTACACATGCAACATCGTACGGCACTCGGCAAGGTACATCCGACATCGCCGGAAGTTGTAGACATAAGCCGAGCAGAGACCCAGAAAGTAGCTGATGGCAGCATCATGGACTGTGGCGCTCCGATCGAGGTACCCAACACCTCGAGCTTGCACAGCAACATCATGGCAGCGCTTGACCAAGGCAAGAGAGTGGGGAAAGGCCGCTTTCTCTGCCTCGGTCTTGAGATGAAGCTTTGGTCTCCTCGGGAAGGATGCCACCAGGCTTCCGATCATTGCGGCCAGGAGGGCCAGGAATGTCGGATTGGTGGTGTCCTCCCGTCGCTCAAAGGCGGCGCGGAACGAGGGCTCATGAGGGATGGGGACCAGTGGGTGAATATACGTGAAGAAATCATCCACCAACAGCCGCGCTGTGGGAAAAGGGCAGATGGACTCTACCGAAGATGGAATTGAAGTGGATGTGAGATTCTGATTAACCGTGGATATTGGTGGAAGCGTTGGGGGAGAGAAATCTGACGGACTGGGAGAGTTTGCAGTAGGAGCGCTAGGTGAAGTTCCTAGTCTCAGTCTCTTCAGCGCCTCTGCATGGCGATTCGGAGGGCCACGACGTCTGCTTGGTCTTTCATAGGTACAGGGGATGTCCAGGCTTGCACATGACCGACAGGGTGGTCCACTTGTATCACACTTTAGCCGATAAATTAGCCTGGCGGTTCTAATTAATACTGATCTCGGCAAGATGAGTACTTTCCTTGACCTTGCGTATACTACAAGCATCACATGCTTTTCGGAGTCTGGTTTTGTTGTCCATTGGCTCATCCGAGTGACTTCGTTACCATTTCCATGCCTCAGGCCGGAATCATCGGGGATTCAGGCACTCAATCCGGATGAACGTCGCTAACTCGCTATGAAGCCAGCAAATCCCTGGAATTCTTTCTCCGCAAGACGAGGAATGCTTCTAAGGGTCAGAGATTCCGGGAACCGATAATTGTCGAACGACTAATGACGACGTTCAAGGTATGGCCTCGAGATCCCCCCTGTATCCAGTCCCCGATGACCCCGAAGAACGAATACAAAGCTACCCCACCACGCGAGTCACTGTCGGACGTGAGGTGAAAGATGGCACAGTGAGGATGAAATAATCAAAGATGAAGACAAGAACCAGCCATGCGTAGAAGCGATGACATGGTTTTGTCTTCTAAAGTTCGAAGTTGGCTCAACAGTGCAGTCCGAGGCTCGGGAAGGTGATGAAACAGCTACCCGAAAGTGGAGGCGATACCGGTATTGTACAATAATGAAGCACTTCGGCAGTGCGAACAGACTAGATACTGGTTGTTCTGGATTCTGGATCAAGACTTGGCGAGCAATCCTTGCGAGTACTTGTAAAGGGGCAGAGACATTCAGAAAATCTAGCATGTTGAGCCGCTGGCCTGGACTTCGTTGAATGTTACTGTTTCACCCTCAGTACCCATCACGTGACTCATGTCTCCTTTCCTCGAGTCAAGTCCAAATAAACTTTCAGCTAGACTACTAAGGAGCCAAGACGACATGGTCTGAATCTCCCGAAGAGTCAACCAGAAAGGCTGGGGACGAGGATTTGAAACCTCGATTCATATCGAGACATCTATGGTGCGACCAGACTGCGCCAGAACGAAGAACGATCACAATCACAGGACCGTCCGTGGATGTTCAATTGAAGAAGGAACTCCTTAATAATGCAAATCACTAAGGGCACATCGCGTCCTAAACTCGGCCAAACCACTTTGTATAAGGTCAAACAGGTGAAGAGTTAGATTATATTGTCATCGTCAGGATACTCATTACTCATGCCGTCATGTCGTCCTCGTAAAGCATCACGTTTGTTCTCAATGTCCCTTACCCAGAGGGCAGACCCGGCCGCAGTTGACATGAGGAAGAGCATTGATAAGCCAGGAATCAGCTGTAGAAGCAAAGCAACCGTTCCGAATCTGCGTCCATAGATCAGAAAATGATCGGCTGAATAGATCAACGCGCAAGACGAGGTACATACGTAGTGTATTGAAGCTGCCGTCGACGGATCCTTTCCTTCCTTTGTTTCTTCGACAGATCCAGCATCTGAAAATACCGCCAGTGATGAAATGGCCCCGCGCGATAACCGGTCAACAACAAGAACATTGGAGTGCCTGCGACAGGGATAAAGTTCAGGGGCAGGAAGAGTATAAACTCGATGATCTGCCGCAGAGAGAACGGCGAATACACCGCGCTGTGGGTCGGTTTACCCAGCCGCTTGAGAACGTCGTCGCCTTGGGGATACAGGACCCTACAAGCGGTGACGAGCTCGCCATGGCCCTCGTTGACAAGAACAGCATCAAAGATGTCCACCAAGGTCTCGTCGACGAAAAATGCCTCAAACAGTAGCGCTACGATGGCCGCTCCTTCTCCAAGAACGAGAAATGCACCATTGACCCAAGCACCGGCGCCTTGGAAGATGGCGAGAAAGGCAACTTGTGGCAGATATGTGAAAAGAAAGAGGATGAAGAGAATAAATGTAGAAAGCAGGACGATAGATATCAAGCGTGCCCGAAACAGCGGCCAAAGAAATCGATGCGACGCAAAGTAGTAAATTCCCTACGTGACGTTCATGAAGCGGTCAGTGACTATACAGGCAACAAGAATAGTGGGATAAACGTACACGCAAAGGATATAACCAAGCAGCTTTGCTGGGATCCCACAGCCTGTTCATTCCGGGCCTGTCCATTCTGGCAAGGCAAAGCTACATCGATACTCTAGTAGTCAATCTCGTTGTGTTCATAGTTGAAAGAGTGATGTGATGCTCTTCAGGCGGCCACATTCAAACATGCCAAGAGAGCCGTCCTTATCGATAAGCAGTAGTATCAACGCTATAAAACCAGAAATTTCTTCCCGCGACTCAATCCTTTTTCTTCTTTTCTCTTTCATATCAAACTGATCACTCCTCCTTATTCACTCTGATATCCATATTTCTCAATGGATCCTGGAGGGGAAATAGGAGGTCAGATGAACGATCGCTGACTTACCCCAAATCCTTCTTACTCTTGTGGAGCGTTTGGAAATATTGACAGCGCACATCACTTTTCTGTATTGCTGGACTGGCCTTTCGAGCCGTACGAAATGGGCTCAAGGACAATCCGCCTGCACATTGCTGCACAAGTAGGGCAGGCTCATGATCTCCCGCTATAGATCGTATGATGGCTGCTGACAAGATCTACGGCTTGGCCAAGGTTGCTCACTACGGCCGTTGGCTGCAATCCCGGCACTGCTCTTTCTCTCCTACCGCAGTTTTTCCGGTCTACATAGACGGCGTTCATGCCTAGGCTCAGGGCTCCTGTGACATCAAAAGCATTTCCACCGACCGGCCATGCGTCTTTCCATGCATTAGGTTTTCAGTCCTTTCCGCCAAATGATAGTAGACCGCCGGTGAGGGCTTGAATTGCCCAATATCATCGATAGAATAATATCCCGGATACTTCCTACGCGGATTGCAAGGTGTTTGGAGCGCAGAATCGCGTTGGAGACCATTGAATTGGTGCCGTTGGTTAAGGCGACCACCTTCATATTCGGGAACGCCGCAATTTGTCGGAACCCTTCCTTCATGTCCGGAAAGGGGGTCATGTTGTCATGAAGATTCATCAAGTTCGTGAGATCGGCACTGCCCATATATGCGTCTGTCTCTGCACGGGATTGCAAATGGCGTTTCATGTCACTTTCACGTAGGATATGCACTCGTGGTCAGGCAGTGACAATGGGTAGCTCAACGTAAATACCGGCTATACTATATTCGAGAGAGGTTACGCATGCTGCTCAGTCTTAGACCCTTAGGTATATTCAATTGAATTGCTCTCCGGGTTTTCGCAATTCTATGTGCCATGGTTTCGTCGAAATATACGGAGTAGCCCCAGCTCCTTGCCGATAGTCGGGGGAGACGACGCTGCCATGGATATCGAGAGCTATCACAATTTCTCTACTTTACATTTATTGTTCCAGGGATCAAATATGTCAGTTCACAGTATACAATCGACTGGTTGGCAAAGGTCAGTGGCGGAGATGCACCTTAATCGCCCCAGGCATCGTAGGCAACAACAACAGCGGTGATGTCAATTCTCGATAGGGCTGGCGGCGATGGTTCGTGTTTCCACCTCCAAACCCGGACGATCATCGCACATTGCCAGACTACGACCGCACTAGGCCAGTCCACTCAGCGTCAGTCTATGCGGCTCGATGGCCTCGCGTGGAACCAGCGAGGGGAGCAATTACGAGGTCTTTCGGGAATGTCTCTCCAGCGCAATCGTGCAAAGATCCGATAATGGCAGAGCAAACCGAGGAGCGAAGCGAAAAGCACAGAAATCTAAACGTGGCACGAGGAAACCCGCTACTGATGGAGCTGGCACCGATACCACGGCTTCCGACTCCTCATCTCTACCATCTCGGGTGAATCCAGAAGAGTTGGCCGAGTTCATCGATGTACGGAACCCCGCCTTACAGAGTCACGAGGGTGTAGAGGTATGCTGAACCAAAGCTACTGCTACAGTTCCTCGCATCAGAAACCTTCCCCTCCCTACCAGCAGATCTCCAAACCCTCTCCTACTCATCCATCCAGCACGACCCCGTCCTCGCAGACAAATACGCCGCCTCCCCGCTCCCCCGCTCCCTCCTCGAGTCTATAACAGCCACCATCCCCGTTGCCGTCTCCGACTCCCTCTCCGTCTATGGCCTCGTTCCCGATCCCTCCGACGTCCCTGACTTCTTTCTGCCAGTGCTCAGCGAGTACGTGGCCAGCGTGACGGCCGCACCGCCGGTATGGGCGACGACGCGCACCGACGCCTGCGAGATCTGCGAGCGCGACTGGATCCCCCTCTCGTACCACCATCTGATCCCGCGCGGGGTGCATGCAAAGGTGCTCAAGAAGGGGTGGCATGAGGAGTGGATGCTGAATAGTGTGGCGTGGCTGTGTCGGGCGTGTCATAGTTTCGTGCATCGGATGGCGAGTAATGAGGAGCTGGCGAGGGAGTACTATACCGTCGAGAGGATAATGGAGAGGGAGGACGTGCAAGATTGGGCGAAGTGGGTGGGAAGGGTGAGGTGGAAGGCGAGGTGAATAAGTCCAGTAGGAGTTGGGGATCATGCAGTTCTTCCGTAGATTAATTTTAGAGACGTAGTTTTGTCATGAATAGCCTATAGATAATGATATCCTATTGTACATGAGATGTAGATCTCCAGGTATATGCGACTTTTCCCAAACCCGCGTATTATCTGTCGTGTCAATTTGCACAAGAGAAGAGAAGGTATTCAACCAGGTAAGAATACAGTAACCTGCCAGACGCGGTTACAGAAGAGCAGGTCGTCTCAGTGATGGAGATTGAGAAAAGCTCAGAGGTATCTTTTCTCATAAATCTCTTCGTAGCACTGGATGTGATCACCCACAGCAAAGTCGGTCCAGCCTTCGAAGCCGATACCACATTCCGTGTCTTTGCGCATTTCGGTCACGTCTTTCTTGACGTTCTTCAGCGACGCAATCGTGCCTATACATTCAGTCAGTCATCTATGCCGTAAGTGAGGTGTCCCCCAAAAATGAATAAGCGTACCATCATAGATCGTGTCCTGTCCCCTCAGCACCCGAACCTTCCTGGCCCGGTGGATCACACCATTACGGACTTTGCATCCCGCGATAGCAACCTTCTCTCTTCCCTTGAGGGTAATCTCGAAGATCTGACCGACTTCTGCTTCACCCGTGACACGCTGTGTGACCGATGGCGCCAGCTGCTCACTGAGCGCCGCCTTGACTTCATCCATGAGCTTGTAGA